CCATTATAAGCACACTGTGTAAATTCATTATCTGTACCGGCGAAAAAACCCCTGAAATGTGTGTCATACATGAATTTGGCATGGCAACATGCCTCTGAAATGAGGTTGAAATAATAATGGAACAGTCTCCAATAAAGGAACGTCTCCATTAATAGCACGGGGCGGACGTACATTGAAAAAATAAAGGACCGTGCTTATATTAGAGATAATATGGTACCGGGGATCAACGGATTTATCGTTTTGTACATAACGACTTCAAATGTTAACGATTTTTAAATTCGTTAAATAGTTAGGAAGTGAACTGCCTGAAAAGAGAAAAAAACGCCAGACCCACCGTTAAATAGTTAGCATTAAATGTTCAAAGGATTAGTCGGGGAAGTGAACTGCCTGAAAAGAGAAAAAAAGCCAGACCCACCAGGACTCGAACCCGGGACCTTGCTTGTCATGAGCATGCAATGCTCTAACCACTGAGCTATGTCTATGGGACCAGGCTGAACCCAGAAGGCGCTGACAAGTTTTTCACTCCAAAGGCAGCTCACAACACGTGCCACACATACTAATGGCACTTGGGTCTTTTTCCCTCCCCCAGGGGACCAACCACGGTCAGTTTCTGGAAACTACCAGAGGTGAAAGAAAGTGATTAATTTTGAAAGGATTAGGAGAACTTCAAATTCAAAGGATCAGTCGGGGAAGTGAACTGCCTGCTTGCATTTGAAGTTCTCCCAATCCTTTCAAAACATTAAATGTTCGTTTTAAAATATTAACTGGTTTGAGGGAAAGAGACAAACGGGAAAAAAATATTAAAATATTACTGGTCTTTAATACAGTAACAACCAAAAACTTGTTCCATTTTGTCCATAGAGTCTAGATTCATAGATTAATAGGTGCCGTATTCACGCGCATAAAAGGGCATGCACTTATATTCGAATACAAGGGCACCTCCGCATATAACGGCATGACAAAAAAACTCAAGAACCAAGAGTGTGGTTTGAAGACTTGAGTACTCGTCGTGAAAGACATGCCGCTTGTATCGGGAACATTCGCTTTCAGGCAAAATGGAAAAGTGGCATTTTTCGCATATTATACTGAGTGAGGGCATGCGTTAGTATGTGGTTGAGTACAGAAAGCAGCAGGTTACCAGAGAGTGCATCTGGTGGAGGTGTGATTGCAAAGAGTGTAAACATTTATCTTTTTTTTAATAATACAGAGTAGAGGACGGACACAATTTTTTTTATTCCTAACTCCGAGTTTCACGATGAAACGATCATTAGACGTCGTCCGCTGCTGCGTGTGCCTATACTCCCTGTTTGTGTATAAACACACACACACGGAGCACTGCAAGGCTGGTGAACTGCACTAGAGCGGTAGATTATCAACTGTTTTGTATATGACTGGAGCATACCCTATAACGTTAGCTCAGGTCCAGGGCTGGACATTACACATCAGAGCAATTCAAGACTTTCAAGTGTTGACTTTCGTGCGAAAGCTGGCCTCCAATAATGGCATTGTTACCCGTGTTTTCAACTTGTTTTGTCTCTTCGGCTGTAAAACAACACATTATTGCATTCCCATCACCGCGAAATCTGGGTAACTTGGCTCCCTAAGACCAGCAGCTAAACAACAGCGGGAGTTCAGTATTATACCGAATCAGAAGGCCAGAAACTGCTGCTTGCCATTCTTCAGTGCATTAAACCCACATTACACACGTGTAAACAATCAAAATTAACCATGAATTGGCCGGGATGGGGGGGGGGGGGTGTAGAGCTATTGTCTACTCTCGAAATCTTCATACCTTTTATATTTTTTAGCACTGTTTTGGATAGTTTGCCGTGGTTGGCTATCACCCTTCATTTCAATTTCACTTGTTACTGGCAGCCGTTTGACGAGCCAGGAACTGTTTTAAAAATAAATACAAATACAAATGCTCACTAGTTAAGAGAATGGAAAAGGGAAAAGTCTGAAGAAAAAATAGACTGTCACCACCAGGACTCGAACCAGGGACCCACGCTTGAGCCCAGCGATGCTCTAACTACCGAGCTATGGCGTAGCTGTCATCCCAGCAATTGTAACGCCGCTATTCTGTATTCAAAGGTTCACAGTCTTTCCTAACCTTACCTTCATGGCGGTGCCGACGTTGGTGCGGTCCAGCAGGAATGTGTCGTGCCCGTACTCCGTGTCTATCTCAAAGTACGTAACGCTCGTGTTACCTGTGTGACATTAAACACATAGCAATCCACAACAACGCGGTGACCTACACGGTCTTCGCAGCCGCTCCGTGAAAAGTGGTTAACTAAAAACATTGCCCGTTTTTGCCAACTCCGCTCGCGGCTGATCATTTCTTTCTGCCTGGATACAGCCAGTCCAGGCCAGCAAGTCATGTCATGCTAGTTTAATTTTAAGTGAGATACTCCAGCCGCACGTCGGCGTCCCACACTCACACCTACATCGAATCGTATCACATTGGGTCAAGCACTAAAGGCAATGGAGGACTCTAACAAAATGCTGCCAGCGCGCCCGCAACAAACCCGAACAGAGAAACTTCACCCAGCCAAACTCCTAATGCAATGCGCATGCGACAGAAGTGGAGCAGACCAAACCATCACATGATTCTCGCAGTAACACCGAGACCACAGGTCGGCGTTGTTGGCTTGCTTCACTAACACGGCTTCCTAATTGGTTAATAGAAACTTAATACCCAGACAAAAGTTTCACGGTTCGCGTGAGACTCGGCTGGAAGCCGAGTTTTCCGCACCCGTAGGAACGCCACCATACTCTACGATCAAGGCGCAGATGCAGCTCCTAGGCGGTGGAAGGTGAGTAGATCAGACCCACAACAAATGGGTCAAAGACCGAAATCCCATTCACTGCATCCATGTTAACACGCAAGATGTATAGTATTATTGAGATCATTAGAACCCCAATCTTGGAAGTCGCTGGTGAACGTCAGAACTCTTAAACAGACTCGTACCTGTGCGCCGAAGCTCACTTGCCATGTGCTTCTGTTGGGAGACTGGAATGAGAATGTCGGTCTGTACGCCAACAACCTGGACAGCCAGAACAGCAATGAACAGACACTGGTCTGGAGTTGTGAAAGACCCGGCATACAATATAGAACAACACGACAAAAGAAGTAAACCATCAGCACTAACATGACCCACGCAAAGAGAATTCCCAAAATCCATCAGAACTCAGCAGGGTAACAGAACCACTGCAAAGCGGAGATAGCAAACAGCAAACACATCTCCCAAGTCAAGCTTGATGAGCAGATCTGACTGCTCGGAATTGCAACTCTACTATCCACGGTCTAGGAGACTTCCGTGATAAGCATCCATTTGCTTTTGGAGAATCCTTTTAAATAAATACAACAACAATGGTATCCAGACCCGATCCAATTTAGCTGTTTTCAAGTGATAGTTTGGCAGCAGATAATGAAACGCAATTGGGTAAATGCATAAAAGGTGTCATGGAGTGGCAGGGTTCGTGAGAACATGCCGCGCATTCCTACGGGTAATTAATCAAACACCTAACTGCATCAGCGTGTACCCAACCAGTGACTCGGTAAGCTCATACATACATGTATGTGCAAGCATATACATACATACACATGCACGCGCGCGCGCGCGCGCACACAAACACACACACACACACACACACACACACAAACACACGCATACGCAGCTGTACGCACCAGCACAGGGCACTTGATCTTCTCCAGTGCCGCATCATATGAGTCTTGACCATCAGCAATGTGGAAAAGGTCCACAGCCTTGGAGAGGTACATTTGGGAGTTGGGATCCATTATTCCTCCAAGTTTGTGTCCCTTAGCGAAAACAAACACACACAAAAGATTACACAGATGCCAAGAACATGCCATGCCCCACACAACTTGTCAACCACTTAACCCATAATAGGGGGGAGGGGGGTACACCAGCATCTCACTCTAGCGTCAGGCTGGTTGGCCTTGACTTCAGTTAAGACCGTCACTTAACACAATGCAGAACTTCTGAGCTAAACAAATAATCATTATCCATAACGGGTTAGGACCGCGATATAATTACAATGGCTGGGGTGTACGGAGTTTAGATACGAACATTCGAAACTAGCCTATGGGTATGCACTGTCTAATAGTAATCGCTCAGATGCACAGGATGGCATTGGGCATGAACAAGCAGGGTGCCCTACGGTTCCAAGCTGGGACTGTCCATGCCTTGCCCACAACCAGACCACTACCAGAGACCAGACCACAGACCACAATCCCACAATGATTGTGATCTACAGATGCTTTCTCTCTCATCAATAACTATTACCCTTCTTGAATGGGACATACAGACTAGTTTTTTCTTTTTTCTCATTTAAAATACCCTTCTTGAACGTGACGTACCGATACCTAAGGGGCCATCCGTAAATATAGATATTTATTTTTAGAAACAAAACTAGTCATTTAGGGGGGGGGGGGGGGGGAGGGGGTTGAGCGCCTGTTCGTTTCTCGAAAGATATTGATGCACAGTTTGTATCTGTGGGCACGTCAAAAAATATCGAATCTATGTACCGTTCATTTCTCAGGGAGGGGGGTTGAAGAGAAATGACTAGTTTTCATTTCCAAATAAATATCGGTATTTACGGATGGCCCCTAACAAGAAACCCCAGTCACAAGTGACACTGTGGTCTTTCAGTGCAGAGCTGGAGTTCGGTTTGGCGAGAAGGCCTGTATGCCTGCACACCCGGTGCAGCAACAATCAAAGACATATTTAATTCCCGTAGCTATGTAGAAGACGTTACTTCAGTAGCGTCTGGCGCTAGCCAGGGTCCACACAGCTTTAATTTGGTGTTTGTTTGTTTGTGTGTTTGTGTCACGCCTGGTGCTATCCCGTATCTGTCCCGTACCGTACCGTACAATCAAACACAGCTGGCCACATACAGCTGGCCGCACTATCAAATAGGGCTTTCAAACGCAAGATCATAACGTGAAGCAACTTGGAAGAATGAGTATGAATGCGAAG